TGTTTGGTTTTATAGGGTAAAAATGGGGTTTTCCATGGTTCACTCTAAAAAGATAAAATTTCACAAATTTTTCCAAACCATTTTGTAATTGAATTCGTTGATGTATGCCTAACGGTTACGGGTATAATAAAAAAATGCATATTTAAAATTCCCATGTTATTTTAATGAAGAATAAATCAACTGTTGTAGTTTGCTTGTAAAAACACACCTCAATACCTTTCCTGTAGCAGCAAACCTAAGTAGGTAAGCAAGTATGTTTTATCTATGGTACTAGCGTCACAAAACGTAAAAATATAAATTGAGTGTTTGAATTTGAAGTTGTACTAGTATAAGTACTAGCATTGGTCATCTATGCATTATTTTGTTGTAAGAAAACACAGATAGAAGACATTATCAGCTGGAGAGCTGCAGTTTATCGATAGTAATTTTCAATGAAAAGTATTAAGGTATTGAATTAGCGTAACATTAGTAGTTAACGCTCAAAATAAATAAAAAATACCCATTTCCAAATGAGCAATAAAAATTTAATAAAAATCTAGGTCTATAGTAATTTTTGTAGATTTTTATATAAGTTAATACTTGGTTTTAATTAACATACTAAAACCACGGAATAAACTCGAGTCTAACTTATTCTTAAACACAACAAAAATTTCTCACTTATAAACTAATGGTGCTTTTGATTTAAAATACACAACACTTGTATTAGGTATTTTTACTTATTATGCTGAACTCGTTTGCAGACTTGAGTCAGGCGCAGCAATGCAAAACGGGTACTGAATTATTATTGCATACCCTAGTTTGAAGGAGTTCAAATGGATCGGGCGATACAAAATAAAAATTCCGTTTTGACTACATAGTCAATTATATACATAAAAACTTAGATTGTACTTTAGTTATAGTTTATCAGAATCTTATGTAATTCATTTTTAATGATTCATTGACACCTGTAAGTACGCCAGAATTGATATAAATGGCATTGCTTTTCATTGAGCATCGTTGTATCGCTGTATTTTCAAAAATAATTGAAAAAGCCACTTTGTCACGTCCCCTTGGTTTGTTTGATACACTATTTTTAGTTTATATTTATGCTATTATTATATAATTTAATAAATTGCTTAATATACATCAGGATTTAATGTACAGTATTTTACAAACTTCAAATTTGGTTGTGTCATGAGCTGTTTTGTTCGCCAAACAAGTTTAGTTGTAGTTTCGAATTGTTCATAGTTGTATATTTTGTTGTTTCGCCCAAATTTTATTTTTGTACATTTCGTCAACATTATTTTGTAGGATCAAAATGTATGTACATCATATAGTTTTCCCTGATTCTTGTAATAGGTTAAATTAGTTTATGTTATTCGCTAACATTGTTTAGTATCTGACATAGTCAATTGTTTTGGAAGTTTTCTATTGTTGTAAAATAAGCTGTTTTGTTAGTCATTCAAGTAATCATAGTTACAGATTGTCATACTCTTGTATTTTCTTGTTACATCTAATTTTTCTTACATTTCTTTATTATTTGGCACGTAGTATTTTGGTGTATTTTTCTGCTTCTTATAAAATTTGTGTTTCTTTGAAATAAATTGTTCAAACTATCCAATATTGAGCACAAATTACACATACTGCGGTACAAAAACAAACGGGTTATACAAACCTTGTTTACAAATAAATTCTCAACTGTTGTGCTAGTACATGCTACATTTTTAAATCTAAATATAAAATCCAAACACGAAACTGTTCCTTAATACTAAATATGAATTCCTTGCAAAATTGTAATAACGAAACGAAGCGGAAAAACGATTAGGTCAAAATAGCTATGAATATCTTCATTTTTATTTATCCTTGTCACCCTGCCTTCGGATCTTATATGAAACCTCGGGGATTAAGAGAAAACGTGGAATCGCAACTGCAATATCACAGGGCTCCAATCTGCATTAGCTACGACTTGCACATCTAGGCCACTCCGACCCTGAGCTAGCAATGCTGTCTCAAATAGCACAGTAACCAGTGGCACTCATATTACTACAATAATGCTATTTCGATACCATTAGAATTGTTAAATAAAATTGCTAGTAATCGTTTTGAAAATTATTTTATTTTCATTCTTAGACTGGAAAAGCATTATTTTGTTATTACGAAAAGAAATTTACTTGATCTTTTCGGTGATGGATGATTGTAATTTAGGCCTGACTGTCAATGGAAAATCAAAGCACAATGCAACGGTAAAATCTGTCGTAAATGTCTATACAATAGTTTTATAAAATCATCTATATATTAAAAATATTGGGGTTTCTTTTCCGAGTCGGTTTGGCTATCTACCCGAACGATTTTCATAATTGTGGTCTTAAATTAAAGGTATGGATTTGCCATCAAGCATCATCATTCATAATGTATTACTCGAGAAAAAAAAGAAAGAAAACAAACATGTTTTTGTTCGAATTCTTACTTTAATTAAAGATATATTTCACCAGTTTTAATTACATTATCCAATATGTTTTGGTATAAGAACCTTCAGTGAAATACCAGCTTTCATTTGAGCCATTATTATTAAGATCGGACGTACCTGAAGCACACTGCTGAATCATGTATCAACAATAATTATATTTAGTTTAGGTCTTATCTGCAATCAACGATACGTAACTAGATTTTTGTTCGAGTTATTTTACATGTCTTTGTCCTAAAATACTCCTAGATAAAAAGGCTTTAATTTGAAATATCGACAGTTTTAATCAGTTAGGTTCAAAATACCTACTATATTACTCAAATAAAAATTATGTTTCAACCCTGCGGAGCAGCACAGGGTCGTCTTCTAGTTGAGATATGAATTTGTAGTGTTCGGAAACAAACTTTAAACACACGATTGTATGTTGTATTTTTTCTATTCCCTTGTTTCACTCATTGGCAAACTCGCAAATGTGAAAAATCTCATATTATGTAAAATTGTAGTTGTTCAAAATATATTGACCACGATTATTTACTGTTATCACGCCAGGCTAGTTAATGTGACTACTTCTTACAAGGCCTCCCACGAAAAAGATAAGGACGGGTTGGGAATTAAGAAGTATTGAAGTTCTGTTGTTCATAGCTCAAGGTGTGGGTGAATGGGTTGGTAATATGAGGTGATATGAGAACTTTATATTTTTTGATGAAATTTATTTTAGATTCGGGGTATGTTGAATGTCGGGGTTTTCACGCTGGGGCTTTCGTTGGTGTTTGAAGAGGGGGAATATAACAAAAAACATATAGAGATGGATTTTTGTACACATAATGCCATGTCACAGATTAGTATTACTGATTTTTTCTTCCAACACAAAAATTATAGGTAACGAAAGCAGCTTACTTTGTCAGGAGTGGCATAACTCATACTTTATACTTTACTTTATACTTTCTTATGAAATGGCGACCATACTTTGTAGGTAGGATGAGTGGCGCGATCTTGTAGTCTTGTTAGTGACTAAGGCCGACATTCCTTAGACACAGCTGTTAATTAATAGCCCAAACAGCTAATGGCAACTAAGGGACCTACAGTTTATAGTGGAATCCGAACCACATTTTTTCCTTGGTATATACGAATTGGTCTAATTATCAGGATAGTACTGCGGATAGTCGTAGTACTCACTAGTGCGGACGTTAATCCACACCAGGGAGTATCCCATCCACAGTGCATGCCTATAAATATCCACAATCCGTGACCTCCAAGTAGCTGGATTACAGGACGACGCCACCCGTCCCAGTCATAATAATTATTGATACTTCATTTCATGCGTCTGAAGTTAAAAAAATGTTACAATTATAAATTTTAACTATTTTCTTTCTATCATATTTTATTTCAAATTAGTCTGCTTTATGGAAATGCTTGTTTGACAGAAGTCAGTGTCATGAACAGTTTAATGAGCTCACAACTCGCAAGCTTAACCTGTTCGCTAGAGTGTTTATATTGTCATTGTACGAGTAGCCCCATAAGTAAAGCAGTTAAGTAAGTTTAGATGTCATAGCCCTACAAATACAAAGAGGATTATATTGGCAACGCAAGGAGGTTGGTAAGAAACGCTGTATTGTAACCAAGAATAAGTTAAAGCTGCCACACAGGCCTTCTAAGTTTTAAAACTGAGGCTTTCTAATAATATCTCGGGAAACCTAATAATATGATGATAATTAAAAGTTTACCCAATAGAGGGTTTAGTTAAACAATACTAGAAATCTATGAAATCTAGTATTGTCAATTATTGACTAGATTTCATCGAGTTCTGTAAATTTCATTTTTAAACTAACTTTGATATATTTAAGTATTTTATAATAAGTACCAAGAGCTCAGTTGATAAAGGGTTATGTTAAATTAACTTACGAAGATATCTTATTTGTTTACTTAGAGCAAATATTAATTTAAAACAGGTTATCCACTAATATTTTGAAGAAATTTTGTATACATTTTCTCCAGTTTCGTCAAAATCCTCTGAAACTGGTTTTGTCCACCTTTAAAAAATGAAGCAAAAATTTAAAAATAGTGGGTAGATCACAGAATGAAATCAACGCCTCGTAGCACGGCTTGGATCAATGAATTACTGTATAATCTACAAGAACCTTATTGTGAAATCAATACTCATCTACTAAACATTCCGTGTACACTAAACAGTTATTTAATATTTCAAAATTTATTTTATGTAGTTCCAGTAAACCGACCAATTAACTTAATGACTTGACCTTTTGTTATCCTTACGGGGATAAACAATATGGCCAAAGTGGTGAGGGAAATTTCGCTTGGAGCGCATTTTTATCGATGAATTCTTTAACGTAAAAATATTAACATTGGTTGTATTAAAAGTAACAACATCGAAGAATGTTTTCGTCAAATCACACGGTTGCCAAATGAAGTCCCAACACAATAGACGTCCTAGACACATGTCGGGGAAACGTTACGATACCCGTGTCAGTATCTGTAGTTAATGAATGGTGAGGGAGTCTTTTATTTTTAGCAAATAGTAACAATGATAATTAAATACCTCGTTCAGGGGTTATCCAAGATGTAAGGCAACGCAGAGCACAGGACCGCCATGACGGTGACGTTACTATACTGTGGGGCTGCGGGGCGGACTGGCGCACTGGTAGTCAGGGTTACCACCCTAGCGACGTCACAGACCCAGGGGTGCCGCCGTGACGTCACCACCACGCACCGTGGGCAGGACATCCCACGTACACAGAGATGCGAATGTTAGCTTTGCTTCGGGTCGGGTCAACGTGGCTTATTTAGCCCTAGATCGGGTCCATTTATAAATGCATTATGTTGAGAATTTTCACAAAGTGTAGCTGCAACAGTGGTAGATTTTATAATTATTATTGCACGGTTCTATTTAGCCATCAGAGCCGTCACATGAATAGTTCCAGTTTCGTTTTAACCAGTTTGAATTTTGAATCAGGCATTTTTGGATTAATTATAAAAGAAAACTGTGTTTAAACTCCAACTCAACAATTAAAACATGCTAAAAAAAGGACTCATACATGTTTAGCCAAAAAATATAAAATTTATTTATGAACATTTCTAGAAAATATTTGCATTATATTAATTTACTCGAAGGAAAATTTTGCGAAATCAAGATAAAAATCAAAGTTTAAGAAGATTCATGGGGGGGGGGATTTCAAAAACCTTAATTTAATTTACGTATATTATGTTCAAATATTCAATTATTGTAAATCGTGAATAATGAATTTAAAAATTCAATATTTAATAGAATTTACATAAATTCAAAGAGATGATTTTTCGTTTGCACACATAGCATTACTCATTCGAATTACATAACAACACGTTATGTGATGTTTTTGTGTTTCAGCTACTGTTTGTGTATCTATAAAAACAAACGTGGGGCGCATGCAATAGATAATAATAATTCAATAGGTTAAGATAATCGTAAATTAGCTATTACAAGCGCCCCACTTTTTTCGTTTTAAATCTTACAAGTATTCTCTCCACATGTTCATAAATTTTTTCTACTTTTTAATGCGTTTAAAAGCGTGGTATTTAAAAAAGTTTATTTATAAATTATTTATAATATTAGTAAGATTTACTACATAAAGTACTTCTTGTCCTATACATATTACGCTAAAATAGTAAAGTAATAATGGCTCCAATGGGTGGCTCCAACTCTCTAGTTGGGAAAACGAAAATAAATAAATACATTTTATAACAAAATCACACCAACACTCCCAATTTTAGTAATTGTAAAGCGAAGAATTCGTTTTAGCAAAGATTTAAAGAGTGTTATAGATCATACTCTGCTCTATTTAAGAAAGTAATCTTACGCTGCTCTACTCCACAGATTAAAGAGAGTAGGTCTACACTCTAATCTGTGGTCTATCCCAGAGGTTTTATCCGTGGTTTTAGGCAAACAAATATAATTTATTTACTGTTGAATAAATTTGTCCCCGAGCTGTTTTTTTTTAGGCCTATTGTTATATACAAGAATCAATAAAAAACCTAACTACAGTACATGCATGTAAACAAATAACATCAAAACGCGCTTATGTAACACACAAGCCCCGTTTTATCTCAACAGTTTAGAATTATCATACATTTTGGAGACGAACAAGACAGCTATTTATTTTTACGGTATTCCAAAAAGAATAAATAGGAGAAACATGTTAACATGAGTTACGCCCATAAAAAGAAGTGAGTCTCTTTGTTTAAGGATCACTCGGAAGTAAATCAAGACAAGGGACGTGTGAATATTCGATCAAATACAATACTTGTAAAAATTTGAACCACGTGGACAATTGTTGAGACATCTAATCTACGAGAAACAGATTGACTTCGGATACTGCAAGTAGAGCCTAGACATCCAATTTAAACAGATGTAGCATTGACTTTGGAAAAGTATTGGATTTATATTGTTGCTCGACCCAATATTGCAGGCATATTAACAACTGCACTATAAACATAGTTGATTTTTGACTTTTGTGTTTGCTTTTTTATTTGACTGCTCTTTACAATTTGTATTTGTATGTATCTAGTTGGTTGTGTTCCCAGCACTGCCCGGTTTCTATTTTTCTATTTTTACATTCAAGATCGATGATTCCTCTGAGGACCACCAGGTTCCAGAACCCAAAACGTTGTGGACCTTGTGTTTTACCATAGAGAAACGGAATCTATCTGCATGTGTTGAAGTCCCCCCCATCGCATAATGGTGATTCAGTGATATTGTTGTTGATTATTTATACTACAGCTCGGATAATTTTCTCCTCTGAAACAGTGAAATACACATACAGTGCGTTCTCTAATTCACAAAGCCTACTGCCACAAAGGCTCATTCAGTCCATGTGTACGCGTATAAATAGCCTGTCAGTGCAGCAGAGGCGTATGAGGCATGAATGGACGGGATGAATGGACATACCTGCTAAGATGCTCGCGCAGTTGCTCACTATTGCCAACTTTCCGCCGCTTATTTCCCCCACGGTGATATTGTTTTCACATTTATTGATCTCTGAAGTGACGCAGGCGTTTCGGCGCGGCTCCACAACCCATCATATCTGACCTTGCGTTTCCAGCTTGTTTATAATAGTCGCGGCAGCCGTCACTACCCACCCAGCGGTGGGCGGTGCTGATATAATACTTTGACAGCTATCTGGTTTTTCAATTAAAAGTTAAACCGTTGATGTTACTTCAGATTTGCTTGATCTCTTTGGTTTTAAATTAAACCCAGGAGGATATTGCTTATGCCTACAATTTTTACTTTATGCTGAATGGCTATGACAGCTAAAGGAAATCTTGTTTTCCGATATCGGTCTTAAATGTTTAAGATTCATTTAATAGGTACTATTTTCCTAGAGAATGTCAGATAATGTCATATTTTATAAATACACAGACAATGTGCGGTTCATTTTCTGAATATTCGAATCTTATTGACCATACAGTACTAGCAGGATAATGTGAGTAATTAATGCAAACGCTTGAACTGTAGCTTGTATGGTCAAAGTAGGCTGTCTGGTCTTCGAGGGATGCTGGTTGTTGATGATTGTATTGTTGCTTGGAAGGTTGGTCTATACTGTTACTCATCCAAAACTTTGGCCAATATTTTGATCAGTTCAGCAATGAGGTAGAGATCAAGATACAAATATCATCACTATCCTCCGACCTATTGCAGTTTCTAACTTGAAACTCCACAGTAGCAACAAACACCCATGTGAACAAATACTCTCGACTCTCACTTGATTCTGACCAATCCAAACAAATTAAATGCGGAAAATCTAAATAATGATGCGTTTTTCAAAGTCATTTCATTTGCTAAACCATTTCAAATTATCTATCAAATTTTAACATCGTTAATTTTTCGACAAAGTCAAAATAAATAAATAAAGAAGTAGGATGGTGGTAAATCGTAAATTAAATTAAATAATTTAGTAACCCTTCATTCAAATTGATGTCCATGATAGGACACTACTTCTCAACTACTCTATCAAACTTTATTTGCTAATTCTGTGTGCATTTTGTTCTGCTAATTTAAATGAGACTCGGGGCATTTTTCACGTATTTATTGATGACTGTAAAGTTTCAAGTTTGTACCATGTTCGAAACGTCTGGTATATAAATTTTAAAATGTCCTCTTTGTGGGACACCCTGTCTTGTAAAATACTTAAGTGTAAATAACCTCACCACAACAAACTTATGTACTGAGTGAATTTCTAATAATTTCCTACTTGGAGTTTCTACAAAAATTTAATGTTTCATTCAATTAAAATCTTTTAAAAGTTGGTTGAATACCACAAAATAAATAGTTAACAACAAATCACTATCTACCGTCAGAAACGTATAACTTGAAATTACCTCTATCTATTAAAATAAACGAAATCATCTATTTCTTGCAGTGTATTAAAGAACATAATTATTCTCTTCTGAGTCCTCTCCCCGTTGGGAATCACGGGTGTATCAGCTAGGTATTAATAATTAAAGCATTATTTTGGTATTTTTTCAAGACTTGGGATATGTTAACCCTTACACAAATTTATTTATCAATACCCATGAATTTTTGAAACCTAAAAAATACCTGTTTTGTACCCTTTTAGCTATGTCCAACTGATTTGTTTTTTGCTCATATGTGATGTGTACGTGTGTGAGTGTGTGTGTGTAGATCGGCGAGTTTGTGTGTGTCTTCACTAATGGCAGAACCTAGTCGTAGCTTAAGAGGTAGTCGGATTTGTGCCTTAGCTCCTCTTTGCAAATCGATTGACTGATTTTACTTGACATAATGTCATTAGTAAACAAGCAAGAAGCTTTTACTATAAGATGATTTGAAAATTAATTATTTTTTTATTTAAGACTGGATTTGAATTGAAGACAACATTTGGAAAACACCTTTGTAGTCATTGAGACAGTTTATTAATCACTAGATTTCAGCATTTCCTCAACAACTCTGAGTACAGAAGCACATTTCACTATTAGTCCCGCATTTGCGGGAAAGATAGGGGGTTATGAGTGAGAAGCTGAGCACAAAACACAACTATTAATGGAACTATGACGATGAGTATACTGAATAATACTTTTCAAAGAATTTGCAATGACAATGCAAATAATCACACTATGCTTATTGGTTTCAAATAATAAAATGTTTGTTCCATAGTTCAGAAAATCTCTTGGTTGTCATATCATAGGCTAAGACTTTACTTGAAAGTTAGCTGTGTGAACAGTACTTCTCATAATTAAATAATTATAAATCAAATACTTTTTAAAAATGCCTTGTTTTTAAACGCACTAAAGAGTAATAAATAATTTATAAATATGTGGAGAGAATAAATACTTGTAAGATTTAAAACAAAAAACGGGGGGCGTAGCTAATTTACAATTATCTTCACCTATCGAACTATTATTATCCATTGCATGCACCCCACGTTCAATATAATATTCTATATTGTTCTATATTATTCTATATTAAATATATTATATTATTCATATATTATTCAATGTGTTCAGAATATCAATTTCAAAGGAAAATTATTTGCTATCAATTTTCGTCTATTTTTTTAAGAGAGATCAAAAGTTTTTGATAAGTACAATGCCGCCCATCCCTAAATATAGGATAATGACAATGCCACAATCATGCAATTGCAGAATGATGA